GTTAATTCTTGTTAACAAGAGGTTAAGTTTTCTTATGATTAATTAGTTCATAATCCAGTACTTCGAAAGAGCCCTCGATAAATCCTACTCGATAAATCCTATAATATTTGGAAAGTAAAGAATAATAACTTTTGACCATGTAGGAGCTCATAAAGTGAGTCGAATCCAAAACCTTATGATAAACAAATCATATGCCTAATCACTCGACTAACCTTTAATGGATACCGATCTCAGATTTCAAATAACAAGTACCATCGGCAACTCCCCACCGAGAGCCTAGAGAAAGTAGTTTCACCTATAGACCATACCCCCCTATGCCAAACCTATTAACTAACATACAAACCCTTATCCGCTCCGAGAGGTATCGAGCGACGAATTCATGTAAGTGATATAGTAGAAAAAGGATTTTATACAAATGAAAGCAAATAAATTCTTACTTAATAACTACAATTATGGATNCGTTTCTAGAATGGCCACCACATGTGCTCATAGGGTTCTCACTATCAAGATTTGAAACACTTGATACCCTCGTCACGGTTCTACCATTCTAAGGACATATATCAATACATATTGCAATAATAATGATTTACGCGATATAGAATAAAATGCATTTTATTATTGATTAATGAACATTATTACAAAGAGTCAATTCTACAATAATTGATTGGCTCTAGGGCATCTACTCTAACAGATACCATGCCTATTATCATGGGTAGTGAGAAATTAGAAATAGAGAAAGAATAGAGAAAGAATAGAAAAAGAATAGAAAAGTAACAGAGAAAGAACAGAGAAAGAATAGAGAAAGAATAGAGAAAGAACAGAGAAGGAATAGAGAAGGAACAGAGAAGAATGGAGAGGTGTGATGTAAGGAAAGAAATTCAGAATTTAAGCAATGGAAAGAGAAGAGTAGCATAGTGGGTTTACTTACTGAGCAATTAGTGCTCACCCCGTTTTTTTCAATGTTTTTGCAGGTAATAGGTGAGATGCGGCCGCTTGGAACGTCACGCAGCGGAAGGGTTGGGCAACATTGTCGAGTTGATGTTTTGTGACTTTATTATATTTTATAAAGATTTGTATTTAAAGAAAAATTAGTTATGGGCCCGTTATTTTATACTCATCTACATGTATATTTTTTTATATATATTTTGTGAGTTTTACTGTTATTTTTTAGTATACTAGCTAGAGAGAGAGTATTACAGACCCCTTCCATTTTTGCAGATCTAGTTGGTGTATCTATGTTCTTGTTATATGATGATGAATTAGGAAATAATTTATAGCTTATCTAGATTGTTTCACCAATCATGTCACGAGTTCAAAGCTTACGAATAAAACTATGGTCTTATTGTGGAAAGTAGCTTAGCCAACTGTTCTACCTTGTAGTGTTTTTTGTTTGATTGACTTAGTGTGTTGAAGCATGCAACTGAAGTTTATTGAACAGATGCTTTAGGAATTGTAAATCCTCTAATCATGGTTGACAGGCAAAACGTCCCACATTGAGTTTTAATATATATGGCTTAGGCGCATTTCTCACATATTTTCAATAACAAATACAATACGAGTGCCTCTGATTGTTCCAAAATACTATAGACTTAAACATTAAGGATCAGTTTCTATTACATTTTAATATCAATGAAGGAGAAAAAATTACTTATTGCAGTAGATCTATTCCACCTTCAGTATACATTAAGAAAAATTGACTATGAAAACTGTAGTAGAAGCTGGTTTAGTTTGAAATTTTGTTGAAAATTTAAATCTACTTCCGGGAATAAAACCTGTAATAGAAACCTTTAGCTTTTGGTTGAGCATAAACCATGAAAAATTAGCAAATTAATCAGATCAAAGCATATAACAAGATAAAATGATGTGCCTTTTAAATGTATTTTTCAAGTTTAACAAAACCCAATTGACCCTCTTAAGTTATGAAAGGTAAACAAAAAACATGTCAGATTGTAACTGCAAGAGAGAGAGCGACAATTCTTCCTCTTAAATAAAATCTAGGCATAAACTTTTAACCTCTGGTTGGATAGTTGACGATGAAGAAGAGGTCAGTGAACTTAATTATGAGAAGGTGGAACAAATGTTATATGGAGAATGATCTATTCCTGCTGGAGTTGCTGATCAACTTTCTTTTTATGATTCAACTGATGGTTCAGAATGTTGGCTTCAAATATTTAAGCAACTTAGTATCTATTTTAAATTAAATTACAAGTTTTAACTTATGATTTCTATTTTTTACTGAAATTTATGTAGATGATGGTGATGGTAATGGTGATGATGATAGTGATGATGAATTTTGATGCTAGTGTGTGAAGCTCAATCAACATGGAGACGGATCAAAGAAAAAACACTTGCACCAAATGTTTTGTTATTAATTATTATGTATTTTGTCATTTAATATGTAATGGATGAACACAACATCATGTTTGGATTTGGACTTTGGATTGTTGTTAAATACTTAAATTATGTTGGAATTGTTATTGAATTTGAACTTTGAATCATGTTGGGCAGTAATTAAGTTGTTATTGTCTTATTAAAAAATGAAAATCTAAAAAAAAAAAAAAACAGGTTTTTTTTTTTTTTATGTTGATGTCAACATGATGATGTCACTGGTCCAACCAGCGGTCCAACCGGTTGGACCGTTGACCCGTGACCCAGGTAGCAGAGCGGGTTGCCCTCTAGTCCAGGTTTTAAAACAGTGATATTTTTCACCATTTGTCGCATCATACCCGTAAAATTCCCGTACCTTTTTTGTCGTACCCGTATTTACTAACTAGGATCATTCATAGGAGAGTTAGAGATGATTCAAAATAAGTATTACAAACTTTAAATGATGCATTCATAATCTTTTTTTTTCTGGGAAAATTAGTTTATCAAATGCAAATCAAGAAAATCAATCAACAATCTCAATAAAATATAAAACAAAGAATCTGTTAAATTACAATAAGGAATGGGTTCTCGAAAAAGGAGAGAGAAGTAATTCTCTAGCTATTGGCTTTTTGGTTCAAAGCTTTCACTTAAATCAATAAAGAAACAAAGGTAAAAAGGAGGAATGCGGTGCATGCAAAGTGCAATGCAAATAAAGTAGCTTTCTTCTACCTCGAATTCTCATATTAGGAAATAAAATATTATATGGACCAACTTTATAAGTTGACATATCTTAAAGTTCTTCAAGAGAAACTATAAATTAAAGTAGAGCATTTTATAGTATGACTAAAACAAGAATCATTCACGTGAACCAACAGGTTTAATGTGGACTGAATCATGACTTTACTTGAGCAGTTCAACTGCTTGCTTATATTACATATGTTCATAATTGTCAGACCAAAGAAATCAATTAAGAGGATGAAATTTTAATATAATTAAAATTTTTTTTTTTTTTTTTGGGTAACCGGGGCGTCCGGGCCAGTTTTTACATACTTCAACTAATTTTTGGGATCCATTGAACACTCTATAAGCCCAAAGGATCAAGATTATCAAATATGGGGAAGATCATAGTATAATAATACTTATTTATTGGGATTATCATAATGGTTTTATTTTTACAACTGAGTGGCCTAAGTGTCTAACGATAACAGAGCAAAAAGAGATTTCATAAGCTCTTAAATTAAGTCTCCATAGGCCCTAATAGGAATAACCACTAAGAAGTTTACCCAGTCGTCAACTTCAGAACCTTAAGGGATTAGTTGAGATGTGCCTAAACTGGTTGGACAACCTTGGTCACGAAAAAAAAAAAAAAAAAACAAACAAACTACATTATGTATAGTCAAATAATCTTTTTGAATTTTGATATTTATCTTTGCTCTCCACGTCTCACAAGCTCTGTTTTAAAACCCGGACCGGACCGGCCGGTCCGACCGGTTAGACCAGGACCCAGCCTTAACTCCAATCCAAGTTAACATAAAAACCGAAAATAACATAAACCCACTTTGGACCGGTAATAGACCGGCGGAACAGTAAAAACCGTCGGTCCAACCGGTTTGGAGCTTAAAATGGTTAATTGTTTTGGGGTTAATCTGATCCCTAATTCTTAAACCAGATTTGCAGCGTCGTTTTATTCTCTATTTCATTGAGCTAGCAAGCATTCTTCATTTCATTTCAATACCATTTTCATCTCCAAAGACCAAATTGCATCTTCCATTTTCATCTTCTATTCTTCTTCACTTACTTTAAAATCTACCATGTAAAGAAGAAGAAGTAAGGGGAGGGGAAGGAAGAAGAAAGAGAAGAGGAGATGAAGAAGAATAGAGGAAGGAAAAAGAAAGAGAAAAGAGAAAAAAGTTACTGGGAAAAGCGGAAAGGGATAGAAGAAAGAAGAATCTGACGGGGAGAGAGATAAAAAATGATAAAGATGAAAGTGATGGGGAGAGAGAAAAAAAATAATTAATAATAAAAGGTGCAAGTTATTTCAAATATACAAGGATTTATGTGTAAATTTTAGGAGTAAATTTGCGGGTTCTCAAACTTATAAGAACTGAAAAATTATTCAGGGATCTGTCTGTTATATACCGATTAGACCGACAGGTCCAACCGGTTGAACCGATCAATCCGAGAACCGACCCTTTGATCGGGTCAAGGAATGGTCCGGTTTTTAAAACAATGCTCACGAGCTTTCAACAATTAAATTGTTTGCAAGACATCTATTGATATTAGTTTACATGATATTACAAAATAGATAAATAAAAGAGAAAATTGCAGAACTGGTATCTTTTTTTGTGGTAAACCATGACAAAAGAAGCATGAAAATAAATATATTTATATCTTTTTGCCACTGAATTTCTTATTTTCATCTTGTCAATTCGGTGTTTGCACGAGCCTCATACAACATGAAGACAGCAGCCTTATTGCTATGGAAAAATACTTGGAATAGAAAGACTATTTGATAACATATCATGCTTTGTCAATGCACTTTGGAAACTATGATTAGGTGATGCAAAAACAATTTAGATTTATAACAAAAATTAAACCAAAAAAAAATATCAATTGCTTATTTCCACCATAATAAGACTTCAATTACCTGCTGGACAATTACAAATTGCTCAATTTTTTTGTCATGAAACTTAAAATGAGAAGTACATCCAAGAGAACATTACATGAAAAATTCATCCAATAATGAAATAGAACCTCAATATTGCATTATAAAAACTTGTACACAACGTATACATTACAACATACATTATAAAAACTTGTACACAACATACATTACAACAGCAAGAATATAAAGTGATGAACTAGTTGTTTTGATCAGTATCAGTACTCTCCTCCGATGAACTTGCTATTTTGATCAGAATCAGTATCATTCCATTTTCATGTTATCCTTTTAGTTGTCAAGCACACTGATGCAAAAGTCCAAAACACATAACATGATCAACAATAATGCATACAAAACAAAAAACAAGGAAGCCTAAGCACAAGACTTCAATGAAGCCAGATCTTCAAAAAAAAAGAAAAAAAAAAAAAGAAAGAAAGAAAGAAACAAAACAAGCAGCTGTAGCAAGCAAAAACCTAACCCAGCCACTAAAAACTTCAGCCGTAGGTCGTGAAAAGTGAAGGGAAACAGGTCAAACCAAGCTGCTACTCATGGGACACATCGCCCACCGCAGTAGAAAAAAAGCCAACCTCCCAAAAAGATTACCCCAACTCATAACAGCCCTCAACCCCTTCACCTGCTTGCACCCTTTCTAGCCCAACACCCAAACAAACCCCCTAGCCAACCCAACATAAGCAACAACCACAGCCAAGTCATTTCTTGGACCACCATGATAGAATTAAAACTAAATTTATAAAACTCTAGACACCAAAAAGAAAAGCTAAAAACAATACCACTTAAAGTAAAAGAACAACTAAAAAATCATTCTTAAAGTGACCACCCCCAACCACACCAACTGTATATTGCTAAACCATACTTCATATGTAAAGTAAAAGAATAGAGAGAGTGTGATAGAAGTAAAGTGAAGTACCACCAACTGTATATTGCGAGACCATACCTCAATCAATAATTTGCATCTGCAGGTGATGGCCTGTAAGTGATGGACATCCTACAATAGGGAAGTAGTGAAGTAAAGAAGAAACTAGAACAGGAAGGCACTTGAGACTTGTTGTATAACTTTCACTTGAACTGGCACTATCACTAGAAAGTGACGATTCCCACATTTGACATGTCAATAAGGTCTTATAGAATCCCTCTTAACGGAACAAGTATTGGGTGAAAGAACTAAACACTTATGAAATAAAGATTATGGGAGATTCAGGGGATTCTCGAAACTGGTTTTTGGGGAGGTCGAATAGAAAGAAAGTTCAACGATCGAAGCCAAGATAGAAAAAAGAGATAGTAAGTGCTTTGGCTACTAGAGATGGAGCCGGATAGCTCTTTCATCCATGATCCGAGAGTCCTTGCAATATGTCAACTAGCTTTCTTTGGCAGGTTCATAGTGGAAAGTGGAAAGTGGATCAGGCGGATCAAGCTTCAAGGCTTCAAAACATAAATAACTTAGAGAATGAGGGAGACAGATTGAGCAAAGCCCTAAAAGGTGCAGTCATCCAAGCAAGGTCATTTTCATTCCCGTAGTTAGCTAACCAGGGAATTCAAGACTTCAGTAAGCCTGCTGGCCTTGCTTTAAGCAATCCTCAAGAATAGCTCTTGTTTTTTCTTCCATTCCACTGCGTTCTTGATGCAGGTAGCCAAGCGTGAAGCAGACTTAATCATCTCATCTCTTCGCACTGTCTCGTTTATAAGCTCATTCTTTCGCTCCAGCTCTAGTTCCCGACTTGCTTTTGCTAGTTGGACAATTAGCTGTAATATCTTCTCTTTAAGATTCCCGATATAAACCGGGAACCGAACCAGGCTCGTAGTCCCTCCACGTTCTCAAGCAATGCACCACGACTATTATCTCTTTCTCTAGGACTGTGTCTTTCTGTGTCGTTGAGCTTCCAGCTCTCATATGCTACTGGGTGTCCCTCCTGGACCAATACTCTTCCAATGGCATAGTCTGATGCTTCAGTGTGCACTTCGAAAGGTACAGTATAGTCAGGCAACCTCAATACAGGTTCCTCCGTCACGGCCCTCTTCAAGTCCTCAAAGGCTCGCTGACACTTGCCCTATCCCTTTAACTTAAAGGCAATGCCAAGGCTTTCTTCAAAATATTTGTGAGTGGACTTCCTAGAATATCCAATGATGAATCGACAGTATTAGTTCAAAAGGCCAAGAATTGATCGTAGCTCGTTCAAGGGGACTCCCCCCTCTTCTATTGCCTTCACCTTCTACTTGTCCATCTTAATCGACCATCCCATATCCCAATGCCATAGGAGCAAGACTTCTCCCCCGAGAGTCACTTCTTTCCACTTTTTTTCCTTCAACGAAGAAGAATGTGACTGGACAATCTAAGACCATTTGATTCTTGTAATTAATTCCATTCTTTCTGCTTTTGCTTTTTCAATTTTTTGAAAAGGATGTGTTGGCAATTGGTGCTTGGTCCAAGGAAAGGAGTCGTCGAGGTCTACCTTCGAATAAGTAATCACAAACGGTCATAGGCTCAGCCCTAGTTCTTAAGGCAAAGTCTCACATGAAAGACAAAACTCAAGCAAGAAATGAGGCAGAAAGAGAGAACCCAAACGAATCAGCTTTGTCAGATGAAGACAGTGCTAGTGAAGTGAATTAACTAAAAGGCATCGGTTGACTCTCTTTCTAATAGCAAAGCTAGGAAGAGCTTAGAGGTATTTACTTTTGGTTAAACAAAAGAAGAGAAGTAGAAAAATCCGATGCTAGTCTTTGAACCTTGGCTTCTGCCACTTGTCCAGGTACATATGTTCTTGAATACCGATGAGTTTACGCCTTCTTCGCTATTAGGGAGATTATTATTTTAAGAGGTGTAGGTGAAAAAGGAAATTAACGAAAAAAAATAGGATGAAACCTTTGGCTTTATTCAACCAAGCAATATAAATAAACTACACAAGCTTAATCCCTTGTTTTGTTATTTGTTAATAGATTTCCAATGAAAAATCCCCCAGTTGCAAGTACTGTGAATTTTTTAAATTTCCAGATCCAATTACCAATTCTCACTTGATCTTTTTTATATGCATCTTATATCAATAAAATTCTAGGAATAAAATTGATTTTTGTACTTATACGTATAGAACATGATATTCTATAATAGCACCATCATCGTGTGAATCTAGGCCGGCTCATAAGTAAATAGAAAATAAAAAATAGTTCCAATCCTTACGGTTGTTCAATGACGAAGAAAGAGCTTCCTCGTCTATTTGAGAATGATTGTTCATTTGCTATTTTAGACCATACACAAGCAGCAAAAAATGGGAAAGACAGACATATTAACACCATTAAAAAAGTTCCAAGTTAAAGAAAAAAATTGAAAAACATTTAAATCACTATTTCCAAAGAGCAAAACAAAAGGATTAACAACTTCAGGTTTAAAAAATAATAACCTGTGAAAATGAATGGAATTTGGATAAGCCGAGAGATGCCACATGAATCGCACCGGAGAGATGAGTCATGGTTACACTACAATAAGAGGAAAGTTACTGTTAACACCAGATAATAGATAACAGCTAAAATGATACAATTGGTCATAAGAATACCGTAGGGGAGAGCAGTCGAACTTGAGTTTTGGGCAGGCTGAAAAAGTTTGAACCCTTGCATCACAGTGAAGAAAAGAAACCTTCAACTTCGGTTCTGCATACCCACATATCAAAAATCAATTATTTTCACTAAAAAAAAAAAAAAACTTTGACCAAATTTATGCAAGTAAAAGGGAAAAACTTTAATAAAATTAAAGTCATTATCTTAAGGTATTGGAATTCCCTTTCAAATTGATAAAGCTACAAGAGCTAAATCCTTTGGCTACTATGCCAAAGTTCATGTTGACACACACTCAGGCTTAAAATCATTGATTTCTTTTCTTCATTGAGTCCTTACCTTCTTCATTAATGGTTAAACATTCTAATTCCCCAATGAAGGCACCCACTCGGGCTTAAAATCATACAAACAACACCTAACCTTCAACATCTTTTGTGGCGTTTTGGAACCCAGCCAGCGGGAAATAATCACATTACAGGTGCGGCGCTCGTTGGGGACGCAATTGGAGGAAACGAAGCGAAGGAAACGGTGGTGGGCTTCGAAAAGAATCAGGTTCGCTAATCTTGAAAGGAAATTTGGGGAGAGATTTTAGTGTTTGTATTTTGGGGAAACTGAGATTCAATTTGGGGTTTGTTTTAGGTAAATTGAGAACTGAAATTTTGGGTTAGTTTGAATTTTTTTTTTTTTTTTTAATTTGGGGGAGATGACATGGCATTTTGTTGATGTGGCAGATGATGTGGCAACTGCCATGTCATGATGTGAGAGAGTGATGTGAGAAGGTGGTGTAAACCTAGTATTATAGAATTTTGTAAGCCATAGTTTCTGGGCTTCATTCAAAGCCCTAGTATTGAAGCTGTTGTGCATTTCGTTTCACCAGTAAATCAATTAGACTCTGATACGTCCACTTCTTTTCTCTAGCATTAGGATTAAGGGACGCATACACCTCTTCAAAACTTTTAAGGAAGCTCCCTTTTCCGTATGCAGTAAGAACCAAAGGATCTGTGTCTATTTTAACAGATTCATCAAGGAGGCCTATCCTTCTCCACATTACTAAAATCCTAGTCTCATCAAAGCCAAACCTTCTTGCATCAAATAGAATCCCAAAGGTAACTATATCTGGTTTCACACCAAGTTTTGGTAGTTCAGAGAATAAGAATTTCAAGTGCATAAAATCTTTCATTTTTAAATGAGTAACCAAGATAATATTTGCAATCGATACATTCCATGGAACCTTAGCATCTTCCATCTCCTGGACAACAAGTTCCATGCCTCTTCGACTCAAAAGACAAGCATGAGAAAGGATGCGCAAACACCAGACAAGGTCAGTCCTACCCGTTCTTGAAGCAAGATCATCCCCCAAATCATCTAATCTCGAAAACATATGGTTTTTAATATAAACCTCAGCCAGTTTCCTAATCAAATCCTCCTTTAGAAAAGCATTTGATTTCAGTAAACTTTTATAAACCTTCTCCATATCTTTTAAGGTCCCAAAGTTAATATAAGCTTCAAGCACTGCAACCAAAGTAGATGAATCTAAATGCATTCTCTTTGAACGCAGACTTTTATATGCCCCTTCCATTCTTTTGAGCAGACCACCTTGCGCAAACTCCCGAATAAGCAAATTATAAGTAACCTGATCAGGTGAACACCCATCTGATTTCATCTCCTTCAAACACATATCAATCTTACTATACATTTTATATTTTCCATAAGATTGAATAAGACCATCATAGGTATTAGTTTTAGGTTTCAAACCAATTCCCTTTATCTCTTTAAGGAAAAACAAAGCATCTTCTAACTTTTTGCTTCTTGAATAACCATGAATTATTGAATTGTAAATCTTTAAAAAAGGTTTAAGACCATTATGCTTCATTTCTTCAAGAGCACATACAGCTTCTTCTGTCAAACCCTCTTCACATAACAACCCAATAATCTTTTCACAATTTGATTCATTAATGCATGACTTCTCCACATTCTTCCATATACCAAACACCTATTGACAAATCTTCAACTTTCAAATTTCAATTTTTTTTTCCTCTAAAATTAAAGACAAGTTTTAAATTGAATTGAAGAGAACATACCTGGGGAATTAAAGTGGACCTAGAGGAAGTTTGAAGGAAGCGGATGACAGCCCAGAAGTAAGGTTTGGTCCAATCTCCGTCATGTTGAAGGATTTTCAAGGGGCAAGAACGATTATTATTAAGCCTCTGAATCAAGGATTTGAGTGCTTGGTGTTGATGGTAGGTCTCAACGAGAAAAGTTGTGTGTTTGGTTGAATTATGGAGAAAATAAGTTATGGGTTTTGTGGTTAGGGTTTTGGAGAAAAAAGTTGTATTTAAAAGGGATATTATGGTTACGGAGTTGCAGGGACATTACATTCTCTATTGTTCTTCAATTGCGTGAGCTGCTGTTTGCTGTTATGAATTTATATGCAAGTTACCCCTGAATTACTTTTTTACATTCTCCTAGCCTTTTAATATTCAACATTTTTCTTAACATTTTTTTGTTTTATATTTTAGAAATATTTGTTAGTTGTTTAATTTTTTAATTTTAATGATTTCTTTTAAAAATATTTAAATATTTATTATTTAACTAAACATAATTTACAGATGATAAATATTTTTAAAGAAATATACAATAACAGCAACTAATTTAAATATTCTTAATATTCCTTATTTTATTTAATTATGTTAATATTATAATTATCTATCGTTAAACTCGGTGTTTTAATAACCAACCCATGGTGAAACCTGACAAAGTGGTTGGATCTTGGGTTGACCAATTTGACCGACAAGTCAAACTGGTGTCCAAAAGTTTGAAATATAACAAAAATACCCCTGACTTACTACAAGTCTCTATAGGTTTAAAATTTTGCAAAAACACCCTAAACATCATTGCGAACGTCAACAAACCAAGGCAAATAGGGCATGTTTCTGATGACAAAAACACTCATCGTCACTGTGAAACACTCCCCTCAGCCTCTTGACGAAAATCCATATCACCCTTCCCCCAATTGCCTCACCAGTCGGTTGTTGCCACTGATTTAGTTGTGCGATTTTCGATCGATTCACTCACCGAAAATCACCTTTGTCACTTCCATTGCACCCACCGGCCCTTCCTCTTCCTCAACATCCTGATCTTCAATTGTTCCCCGATCACCATCCCAATTTTTAGGGTTTTCAGTGAATAGGAAAATCGCTAACCCGACTTGGGAAAGGCCTTGGGTCTTGCACTCATTCATGCTCACGCAACTCTTAAATATCATACACACATATAATTATTCTTCATTCCATTCACCTAGTGGGGCAAACTGATATTTTCTATGTTTCATACCTTTATAATTTAACCCAAGCCAGTCAACTGGATTGTGAATCCCCTTTTTGGGTTCTATTTAGGGGCTAAAATATCATAATTTAAAGTTTAAGGGTAAAGTATATCCACTATAGTTTGAAAACTTGCACTTTCACGCCATCCATTCGATGAATTATCGATCGGATTGTCTTCCAAATTTGAACTGGAGTAGACCTTATTCTGCCTAATTGGTTCGGTCGATTGGATGTGGCTTAGCCATTTTAACGACTAGTGCCAAGTTGGCGCTGCCTTTAATCCAGTCGATCGAATTCAAAGGGGTCAACTAATTTTTGTGGTTCTCAAACTCCTGTTTTGGGCATAACGGCTATATTTTTGTACTATCTTATATAAACTCAACAAAACTCATTCTGAAATAACTTTGCACACTTTGAAATGTCATATTTATCAAAGCAAAAGTAATTTAAACAAACCACTTGAGCTTTTAGTTGCAAATCTCTTTTATAACACAAACCCTTTGTACAAATAAACTTTTCCTCTTGTAGATTGGTTTGTTTTATGTAAAACATATGTATATCTACTCTTAGAGAGTCATTTTTACTATTTCATCAATCCAACTTGAGTTGTAAAAGATTGAGGTTCACTTTTGAGTTTTGGACATTTCTAGTGAGAAAAAGTAAGTCCTAGTATGTGAGAGAGGCTTCAATGTACCTTGTGAAACAATTGTGTGTAAATTCTTAATATCACTTATAGGAAGCTATTTGTATTGGATTTACCTGGTTGGGTGATCAACCGACGAAGATTATGGAAAACTCCAAGCGGAATAGCTTGGAAGAATGGATGTAGGTCAGATTGGGGCTAAACCACTATATATCATTGTGTTTGTTTTTCTCTTCTTTTATCTCTTTACATGAGTGCAATTTATTTTTATGTTTAAGTATTTTCAATTGCTTGTCATTTTCCATATTCATATATTGCACTATAGAAACACCTTAAGTCACTAATAGATTTATTTTGACCATACCTACACCACCCGCAACCCCCCCCCCCCCCCCCTTCCTCTCTCTGAGGTCATTCGATCCTTCATATTTAAAGGCTTAGATTTTGTGTTAGGTACCCAATGGTTGAGGACTTTGGGCCTTATACATTAGGACTTTGACAAGTTGTGGATGAAATTAGCCAAGAACCAACGTGGAGTATTATTGTAGCTTGTGGGTAAATAACAGAGAGACATAGGCATCAAGTAAATTCCAGAAGAGATTGAAAGGTAGTTATCAAGTTACCAAGATCTGATGAATGAGCCCATAGGGCTTCTACCTCCTTGAAATCATGATCACTGTATCCCACTTATGCTTGGACATGGACCAATTACAATGCCACCTTATCAATATCCTCATTTTAAAAAAAAAAAAAATGAGATTAAAAGGTTGGTTAAGGAGATATTAGCAGTTGAAACAATGAGATTTTCTTGTAGAAAAGCATGACAGAACTTAAAGAATGTACAAGGATTATTGACCTTTGAATGGAATTACAATTAAAGATAAATTTCCAATTCTCGTAATTGACAAGCTTTTGGTTGAGCTTACAAATGCAAAATTCTTCATTAAATTAGATTGGAGATCTCGATATCATCAAGTTCGCATGCACCATGATAACATTGAAAAAATAACTTTCATGCGTATCAAGGGCACTACAAATTTCTAGTCATGTCGTTCGATCTCACCAATATCCCATTGACTTTTCAAGCTCTTATAAATGAGGTATTTCAAAATTACTTACGTAAATTTATTTAGTCTTTTTGACGATATCCTTATTAATAGTAAAATCTAGGATACTCATTTAGAGCATTTGAGAGTTGTTTTTGATGTCTTGCAAAGCCATCATTTGAAAGTAATGGTTAAAAACTACCAATTTGAGATGCAAAAAGTTCAATATTTGGGACATTTAATTTCCAACCAAGGAGTGGCAGTTGATCCAATGAAGATTGAAGCTATCCTAACATGGCAAAAAGCCAAAATCTAATAAACATAAAAGCAATGCGAGGGTTAATGTGACTTACAGGTTACTATCAAAAGTTTATTCAACATTATGGGTAAATTGTAGCTCCACTCACTAAGATGTTAAAGAACAACCCTTTTGAATGGGATCAAGCCTTAGATAAAGCTTTTCAAAAACTTAAGCTCGCGATGACACATGCCTTGGTACTAGTTTTACCTGATTTTTCTAAGATACTTATTGTTGAATGTGTTGCTTCTGGTGTTGGTGTGGATGCTATTCTTATGCAAGAAAGACCAATTGCATTTTTTTAGCCAAGCCTTCCAAGGAAAGAATTTTCTTCTCTTTAACTTATGAGAAGGAAATTTCGGCAATAATGCTTGCTGTCCAAAAATGGCGACCCTATTTACTCGGAAGGGGATTTGTGTTTTATAAGTATGAGTTCTCATGAATTTATGTGTTTTAGCATGAATCAATGGAGAAAGTGCGCAAAGGAAGCAAAGAAAAGGATTCTTGCAAGAAATTGTTAAGTGAATCAAACTTAATCCTTGTTTTGAGCCATAATTGTAATTGTTGATTATTGTATGGTTGTATATGATGTATGGTGAGAATTGTTGGCCATTTAAATGCTTGAATGATGTGTAAAAGTTCAGCCATGAAGAGTAGTTCATTTGTATGTGATGATTTGGCGAATTATAGATGAAATATGGAAGAAGTATTGATGGCTTTTTCTCACATATATAAAAATAATAAGAATCATTTTCTAATGAATCGGAAAGCGTGAAGATGTTTTTCTAAATATTATTACTACCAAAAATACATATGTAAATCCACATTAATTCCTTCACTGAGACAGTGTGTGCAATCCTCTTGCCAGCTTGACGTCTCCAGACCGCTATAATCTAATACTTGCAAAAATAAAGAAAGCAACGGGGTGAGATATAAATGCTCAGTAAGTAAATCAAATCTAACTATGCTCTTACTCCGCTGTCCCCGTTTTCGCTGTACTACTTCTAAATTTCTGCTTTGTAATGACTTCTTTCTAATAGTATATTTTATAACATATACTATGAAAACATACATAACTTGCATAGAAAATAGTTGGGCCCAAATTTTTCTTTACATACAAAATATAATTCTTTACATATATCAAAATAACAAGTACAAAAAAAAACTTAGCGACAGTGGACAGTAATGCCAATCCTCTCCGCTTGTCGAGGTCCCTCCAACTGCTGCTCACCTATTTCCTACAAAAACATGGAAAAACAACGGGGTGAGCATAAAAATGCTCAGTAAGTAAATCCCTTAACTCATCTCCTTCTTTGGTTCTTTCCTTACTTAATTTTCTTCTCTTTTCTTTCTCTGTTTCTAACTCTCACTGTTCTTTTCTTTCTTTCTACCTCTCTCTGTTCTTTCTTTCTTATTCTTTCTATTCTTCCTCACCATCATGAAATTCATGGCAATATGCATGAATAAAATGCATATGCAATAATGCATAAAATGCTTTTTCTTTCTTATTTCTATTTTCTTGTTCTATTTTCTTTTCTTTTCTTTCTTGTTTTTCTTTTCTTTTCTTTTCTTGGCTTGTTCAAGCCTTCTCATTCTTTCTTATTCGTATTCTTTCTCATTCTTTCTTATTCTTATTCTTTCTTTTCTTATTCTCATTCTTTCTTATTCTTTGCCGATCGGACTTGGTTGATTTATGGATTTGGAACATTGGTCATGTGAGTGAGTACAGTCCTCATCTACATGTACTCTTGCAGACCGTACAACTTCTTCTTTCTTCTTAGGCCACTCAATTAAGGTGGCGTGCATGTCGGAATTCTTCTCAGTACAACCCTCATCCACATACACTCTTACGGATCGTGAAAATCTTCTTCTTCTTATGCCACTCAATTAAGGTGACGTGTATATGGAAATTTCTTCTTAACACTCACGGTTCCCCATCACACCAACCTATTCTTTTCTCTTCTTTAACACTTTTTCTTTCTTTAATTCTTTAATGCTTATTCTTTCTTTCTCTTTATTCTTAGAATGTTTTATTCTTTCTTTCTTAATGCTTTATTCTTTATTCTTTATTCTTTATTCTTTCTTAAGTTTCTACACATACACAATTATATGCATATGGATGGCTCATGCTTAAAATTTCTTACTTAAATGCACTTATGAAATGCACATATGCAATATTGCATAAAATTAAGGTTTCTACTCAACTCATACTTCTCTTAGGCATTTCATCAAACAATACTTGTGCATAAACAAACCCTAATGTAATTATCATTCTATTTGTTTCTTAAACCATCCAAATTGAGAGAAAAACTCTCTTGTAACATCACCATACCTACACGGCAAAAACACTCCCAAAAGTTTCTCCAATTCTTCCAATTTCAACCCATCATCAAACCATCACATACACTCCTCATATTCAAGTATATCCAACAACAAGCATAACTAATCATCCATCTCATCTCAATTTCTCAATAATCATAACATATGCATATTTAAAAGAAATCTCTACTCACTTGATTTTCTTAAACTTTAACTTGAGTTGGATTTTGAGTGGAATTTACTTACCTTATGCTTGAGTAGTCTCTCCTAAGCTCTCTACTCTTGTTGGATTCAAATCTTCTCTTAACCCTAAGCATAAACTTCATAAGAACTCAACTTTTACATAAATAAATCATAGATAAAGAGTATGAATTCTTACCTTTTGAAGCCTAAAATAAAAACCCTATGAAAAACCACTCAAAAGCCCTCAAAATCCTTAGAGGATTCAATGAAAATTTGAGAGAAAATGGGGGAGTAGTGTGGTGGTGGAATGAAGGAAATAAGGGTTACAAACCCTTATCATCTTATTTTACAAACTCACTTTCCCATTTTGCCCTTACACTTTTGTAAAAATTCCATCTATGTCCCTTAGTCAATTACCATAATGCT